AAAAATACAAAAGTGACAAGTTCTACTCTCAGTTCTTACCTGTTTCTATCCACAATCTTCTGGAACAAATACAAAAGTGACAACGTTTTAACCACATGATGTACTGTGTGTAATCTTTATAACACTTGTTTATAACTCCTTGATATAGCTTATAATTTTATTGAATGCTTTTGGTACACTTACGCAGTTTATAGCAATAAACACTAAAGGGTGGCTGGTATATAGGGAATATGGTCACCTGAACGTATACTGTCTATTAACACTAAAGGGTGGCTGGTATATAGGGAATATGGTCACCTGAACGTATACTATCTATATACACTTAAAGTTGACTGGTATAAAAGGAATATGGTCACCTGAACGAATACTGTCTATAAACACTAAATATGACTGGTATAAAAGGAATATGGTCACCTGAACGTATACTGTCTATAAACACTAAAGGTGACTGGTATATGGGGAATGTGGTCACCTGGACTTATACTGTCCTGGAGTAAAACTAATGTTTAGAGAAATGCATTTAGCTGTCCTAGATGAATAAATACGCAGCTACGTCAGGCAGCAAATATAGATGTCTTGTGTTAAGTTGTCTTCAAGGTAAACGCAGTGTCAAAAGTGGTTTAGGTGTTCGTAGGCGAACCAGGCAATATCTCTGTCAATGCCAATCATACTGTTTCGGTTGGCATCCAAAGTTTCTCCTTAGTTACGTTCGACACAGTTCGAAGAACCAACTTTATTGATTTATTAGTAATTTCTTTCTTGTCCTGAATAAGCCCATTTACAATTTGGCATATATTCAATTAACAAATTATTTGCACTCTACTTATTTAAAGCTTAACAGTGCCATAAAATGAAAATAACAATTTATAAATTTGATGTGACCGAAGCCTTTTCTAGATCTTCCTTGATCAGCAACGCTCAACCCCAAAACGTTTGAAAGTCCAGAATGTATATTTACAAACATTCGATGTTGGATGGTCGTTTTGGATTCTTCTTGGAATTGGGATACAAAGCTTAACATTATTTGTTTCTGTTTAATCTATACGCGGCATGAAACGAAAGACGACGAAATGACAAACAAGTCCACAAAACAGTACATGCAAAAATTAAAGGGTTAGCAACACGAACCTCTTAAATGTGGAGGTAAACCCAGGTGTTCCCTCCGGAAGGGTAGGCAGATACTTGTTCCTTAATCGCACCCGTCATGTTGCTCATGGTAAGAACAACTTCGTCGATAAGTCGGTGATCTCATACAATCGAAGGAAACAATTATGATGTGTTTTTCATTTTAAAAGTGTGTTCAACGTTTTGGTGGTAATGTGTTAGATTGATGTTTAATCGTTAATTCATTAATTGACAAGCTGACCTCTGTATCCTACTTATGGTTGAATAATAGGGTTTCGTTATAAACTAGACATGATCCATTAAAATGATGATACAAAGTAAACAAACAGACACAGAGATTTCGTGGTTACCTTGTCATGTCAACCATGATATCACCCTCAGCCTGGCACTTTCAAAGTTATAAATCATCCTCAGAAAAACGGGCAATAACCAAACCAGAGTGAAAACATTGAATACAATTTCATTTCTAAATTTATTGTTTTACATTCATCCTACCAATTAACAATTTTGATATTTTTTTGACCTTTGGTGCAATTGTTTCAAACATGAATTGCATTGCTTCTTTCAGAACTCTTTATTAGTCATTCTTCACAAGATTGCTCCGAGCAAGTGTGATAATCAAAAGAGTCTTAAATGTAATATTCAAAATATCTGTGTACTACTTTGCTTGGTTGGGTTTAATCCGTAGTTTTAGTAAAAGTACAAAATTCATAAAATATTACTATAACTTGAGTATACAGGGTAGGTAGTAAATGCACTGCAAATTTGAATGACGAAACTAACAGTCATATCTTTTCAGCAGTGGATTGTGCAACTTTTGTGTGTTTTGTTGAATTGTCAAAAAGTAAAATCACAAAAATACTGAACTCCGAGGAAAATTCAATCGGAAAGTCCCTAATCACATGGCAAAATCAAATGACAAAACACATCAAACGAATGGACAACAACTGTCATATTCCTGACTTGGTACAGGCATTTTCAAATGTAGAACAGAAACACTCACCTACAAAGTTTGGAAAGACAAAGATGCATGAGCTTGTTCAGCAGTATAACCAGACGGGTTGAACTAAAGTAAAGAGGGTCCAAAAGATACCAAAGGTATATTCAAACTGATAAGTCGAGGACAAACTGACAACGCCATGGCAAAACACGAAAAACGGCCGACAGACAAACAACAGTCTATAAAATACAACACAGATTAGCAACGCGAACCCACTAAATACCTTGGGGTTAAGAGTAATCTAAACTGTCCAATATTAGATCTAAACGATAAACAACTTTCATAATTATCCTGAAATATTATTTTATTAATACTGTTTTATAACTTTAAATTCAAATATTTACATTAATTTCATATACCACTGCTTGGGGAGTGTTAGCCCCTGCTTGCTTTCACAGTTCAGTAGTCAATGCTTCGGTACTGACATGATTTATTAAAGCCCGTTCTTAAATTCGTCTTTGATAAGTTAAGAAATTATTTAGGAAATAATGTTCCAACTGCCTATTGCAAAAGTTTGCCTAAGATAGATTTGGTTAATTTCCTTTCGCTAATAAGCTCCTCACGTTTGCAAGTTGTTATAAATCCTCAGCTTTCTAATGTTTTGGGTTTGATTGTTTGGTTGTTTCTGAAGAAGTTTATCCTAGAAAAGCGCTTCGGACGCAACAATATTTTAAAAGAGGAGGAAGATACCAAGCCAAGGAGACATTTAAAAGAGGGGAGAAAGTTACCAGAGGGACAGCCAAACTCATAGATTGAAAATAAACTGACAACTCCATGGCTAAAAAATAAAAAGACAAACAGACAAATAATAGTACACAAGACACAACATGGAAAACTAAAGACTAAGCAACACGAATCCCACCAAAAACTGGGGGTGGTCTCAGGTGCTCCGGAAGGGTAAGCAGATCCTGCTAAAACTCATTATTTAAGAGAAAGTTACGTTATTTTAATTAAACACATTATTAGTGATACTCTTTAAATTCAATATACTGAAGTATGAGTAAAGGGATGTGTTCAGTTTATCGGCATTTTCATTCTTTTATATCGTTTATAAAGAAATATAGCAATAAATTTGTGTTCCTTAACCTTTGTCTGAGTAAAATGATTAAATAGAGATATTTTTGGTACATCTACAAGGTTAAATTAAACTTTTATGACAGTTTCTTTACCGAGAAAGACAAAGATTCTTTGGATTATTAGGCAATCATATTGTATTATCTGTTTATAACGTGTTTTTGGTATACTAGTACAATTTATTTCAACACGTTTAACTTATAAAGTATATTTGATTACTGCTGAATTTAATTTTAACCATTTTACATAGTGAAAACCATTTGTAACTCTAGAACAGCAAATTTTCAGCTTTGAACCAAACAAAACAACGGAAAGAATTTGAAATGCGCAATGACACTAAGCATCTAAAAAAGAGGCGAAATGTAATAAAGGGGTATTCAAACTCATAAGTCAAAAACAAACTGACTATGCCATGTCAAAAAAACAAAACAAAACAAAAAAGACTAAAAGACAAACAATAGTTCACAGAACAGTTACACAACATTGAAAACCAAAGACTGATCAACACGACCCCCACCAGAGACCGGGACTGATCTCAGGTCCCGCGTAACATGTGACACCCCTCTCATTAATTTTGTAACATATGTTGATAAGGTTTATCAAGTGATTAGGCATCATGCAATAGCGGATTGGTAATTGTCTCTTATCTAACCCTAAGATGTCACAAATTCATAAACCATTGGTCATCTGGTTTTTTTTTCTTAACCTGCAACTTGAACGAATGTGAAATTTGAAATTGAAACAAAGGATAGACAAAAAAATAAAAAGCACAAAAATCAAACTAAAAACTAAGCAAGAGCAACACGAACTTTAAATTATTCAGTGAGTGGACCTCATAAATAACGGTACGTGAAGTTTAAGGATAATGATTGCATCTGTTCATTCTTCATAAGAAGCTTCTGTATGACGTCAGCCTAATATGAATAAAGGAACAAGTCGGCAAGAAGAAAAGCACAGATGGTTTCCACGGGTTGAGATTCTCTAAAAGAGTAATTGAACTCCATTCCCTGCATCAGTTTATACATGTGTAATTATGGCCAGGCAAATTACAAGTTCTTGTTATATTTACCCAATTGTTCAATATTATGAGATCTTACGTATATTAAAAAACAAAGTAACATTGTTGAAGCTGCGCGTTTCCGCTGTCAATGTCTCAATAGTAATATCCGAGGTTATGAAATTTGCTAATCCAAACCAATAACGGCTTAGAAACCGAAAAAAAACCCAAAAAGATCAAAAAGTGGTTAAGCTGTGAACAAGAGAGATGACCCTATTTCTAAATGATTCATGATTTCAAGTTTTCAAGTACTTAAACGTATTTCAGGGCATCACTTTGCAAATTTTACGCCATCATGAGTTGGTTGGCCATTGTGGAATATCTGTTCACAAAACTCTATGTGGTTCAAAATATTAAGGACATTTCTTCCACAGGAATAGATTACTGAAGATGTATTTGGCAAAATCTTTCGGAATTTTGAGTCCTCGATGCTATTCAATTTCGCATTTTTTTATTCGAGCATCAATGATGAGCCTTTTGAATTCGAAACGCTCGTCCAGCTTACACAATTATAAGCCTGATATCTTAACGAAACCAGAGTTAAAACTCTCTGAAGCAAAGACGATCATAGATGGATTTGGCTTTGTGGATGAACAAATTTAAACAAGTGTTATGAGAGTTGTTCTTACTGAAGTGTAAGCCTGTGTGATAAGTGGCATATTCTTTAAAGAAGAAATAAATGAAGTAATATGTTGGTCGAACACACACTGACGTTTAACCAACTTTTATATCAATAATAATAAATATTTAGCTACAGTGAAACATTTTACATATTGTTGAACTGTTTGCTCTTGACTGTCGTTGTCAATTTTCGTTTTCTGTTCCCGATCTCAGCATAATTGTTTTCCAAACAATAAGTATCTGTTGATGTTTCAATCATGTATATCGTTATTTATTTGTGACCCATACATTGCTGGTCCTTGCACCATAACTACAATAGTAACAGTAAGTGTCACAACAACAAATATTGACAGTAAAACACGATCTACAATCTGCGCGATTTGTTGCCACTCCATTTTGATGACATCACGGCGATCTTTTTCCTCTTGGCGTTTTTCGTTATCTTCTATCGCACAGCATACTTTTTGTAAAACATGACGGAGCTGATTCTCAAATTTGTTCATATCGGGAAAAGATGGCATATGCTGAAAATTGTTCTGTAAATTACAAGGAATTTTACCATTTCCTTTATCTTTGTTTACACAATATTTTGACGAAGGATGGATATCATCTGTATTACGGTTTTCCTGAAGAAGATAATAAAAACAAAATAAAAGATTCCAGGTATGAAATTACAAGGTGGGTTATAAAAACACAAGGTATACATGTATGTATGTACATAGACAATAGCATTTATAATTTTATTAAATATTATTATGAAATATACAAAACTGTACTCCTTATGCCTAATACAGAGAGGTCGATACATATTGTAAGGTAACCAAATTGCAGGAGACAACAAGTGACGATGCTTAATGACAAGCACAAAGGCACATAGAACCAAATAGAAAAAAATACTTATATATATAATAATAATCCTGATTGTTCATGATTAAATGCATACAAAAAGATGAATTATTATTATAGAGTCCAGTTGAAGTTTGGAAAGAGTTAATCTTGGAATACATACAGGTTCTTTTAGTTAGAGAGCGAAAATAAACTTAATGTTTCATTTGAGGTGCACCTGAGACATACTCTGTTTTGTCAAGAAGTATCCTGATAACGACTTTGCTCAATTCAAAGTCTATGTGACAAAGTGCACAATCGAGAGAAATTTCTCCTGATCTAAGAAAATAAGATATCTTTCAAGACCAACATGTGTCTTGAAAGTGCGTAGCTACAGTGTTTTCCATCAGCAAAGCTGTGCATTTGGAGTTCCCACAGATACTCATATTATTGATATAGTTTTTTTTTGTATAAAACTTTAAATCTATATTGCTTACACTTTTTGTGTTCTTTAGTCAAAAGTTTAAAAATAAAGACTTTGTAATGTTAGAATGCAGATAGAATCTTCATAGTCCCGAAAGAGTTGCCAAATATCATGCCCTTTTGCCCACACTCAGCAAAATTTTGCAAAATTTATTGTGTAGTCTTTCTAAAAGAAGCCCAATCTAATTAAAATATAGTTCTCTGATTACGTTATACTCATGTGATATACGAACACACGAGTTAATATAGATCAGAATTTTAATCAGATTGAAAGAAGCCAGGGATAAGCCTGATCTACTGTTGTTGGTTTGGTGGGGTTTGTGTTGCTCATCAGTCTTTACTTTTCTATCTTGTGTGTTGTGTACTTGGTCTTTTTCTTTTTCTTTTTTTGCCATGGTGTTGTCAGTTTAATTTCGACTTATGAGTTTGAATGTCCCTTTGGTATGTTTCGCCTCTCTTTTGTAGTTATAAAAATAAATTACAAACAATATTGTATACATATCAACAGGCATTTAGGAGGTCATAATATAACGCCATGTAGTTTTATGAACAACAATGTGAATTGCATCGATTTATTTTGGTCAGAAATTGAAGTCTAATGCTACTTAACCTAAAATGTTATTTTACAGCTGAGAATAATTTAGATACTAGAATAACACCATGGTGCCAAATCAAACACGGAATGAATGTTATTATGGTAGCGGTACAAATTGATGACAACATTAAACCGTCTATATTGAGTATTGAATTGGAGGTGTATAGAGCGTTGACAACTTTCTACCAATAATTGCCTCTTAATTTCAAAAGTTCATTTGCATGGAAGAATGAAAGCACATACACAATGGCTTTTCTTTTATGTATTTCTTAAATAGAATTTTGATTCTTATGATATGTTAATGATAAATATATGGGATAGAGAATGCATCGAAATAAACTTCATATAGTCAAGGCAATGAGTAAACCACTTTAGGAATATTGCATAGGGTTTTCTACAATATAAACCAAACAAATTAAAAGCATCGAAGACTGATTATAAAGGTAATGATTAGTCCATTGTATTTGAATTTGACCTAACAGGTACTAAATCTTTTATATGTTACTGTCAGTACTCCAACTTCAGTGAGAAGAGCTTTCATTGTTGCTTTTTGTTTATTATTTGAGTGCACGAAATGCCACTTACTTTTTTATGTTATGTACTCCAGCATGTGTGTGTTATAACGATTTGTACAATTTCGGTTAAGTAGATATTTCTAAACCATACTTTCAAATGGGATGTAAATACACCCTATAAAATATCACGGTCACAATGATAAGTGTTTTACTCCTTACTTTTGTAATTGAACATCCAATAGCAAATAGTTTATGCATATTCTGGGGAAAAAACAAAAATTCATAAAAAAATTATAATGAGATTTCAATGGATCAGAGAAAACGAAGTTTTCCTTTAACGTCAATCGGCGATTTTGGAATAGGATTAAAAAAAAGGAACACATTGTTTATAACACATGTACACATGAGATGGAAAATATGAATAATTATAAGCGATGCCTATTGTAAATTTCTAACGTACAACAACTTCGGCAACAAATGAACGTTTATTAAAAATTTTAATTAAACTATTTGGGAATATATGGGATATATCAAAATATATTTTGTTAATCAACTTCTGGTATGCAGTAATTTCACTATTTACTGAACAGAGATATTTTCGACCATATTCTGCCGTGCAAAACTACAAATACTGTATCTCATACAACATAAATGCATTTGTTTTATTTGTCTTTGTATGATTTGAACCTTTGCTGTTTAGTCCATTTTTGATAATACACTTTTGGCGTTGCTCGGTTTTTATACATCCCGCCATTGTGTTACTGTGCTATAGTCGTTTTTGTATTCTTGTCTTTCATTTTTGCTTATGTACTTTGTCTATAAAGTGTCTGTATGCCATTTTGTTTTTCTTTGTTGAATAAATAAAGGCAACAGTAGTATACCGCTGTTCGAAATTCATAAATCGATTGAGAAAAAAAAAATCCGGGTTACAAACTAAAACTGAGGGAAACACATCAAATATAAGAGAAGAACTACGACACAACAGAAACACAACATTAAAATGAAACACACACAGAAACGAGCTATAATACAACAATGGCCATTTTCCTCACTTGGTACAGGACATTTTAAGAAAAAAATGGTGAAATAGTTATTTGTTTTTAACGCGATTAAGATTATAACACAATGTTGACTGCTGTTCCCCAATTTTTGACAAAGTTACCTATTATGTCTGTTTGATTTGCTCACACATTGTTGTCAATATAATGGAATTCAATGCGACTGTCACACAAGTGAGAGGCTTAGCTAGCTATAAAACCAGATTTAATCCACCATTTTCTACATTAGGAAATCCCTGTACCAAGTCAGGAATATGACGGTTGTTTTCCATTTGTTTGGTGTGTTTGAGCTTTTGATTTTGCCATTATTTTCCTTGGAGTTCGGTATTTTTTCCATTTTATTTTTTGTGTATGTTGATGTCTATAGCTATTTGATAAGCGTATACATGGTCATCGAACGTTTGCCGATAACCTTCCCCTGGATCTTCATCTGAGATATTCTTGTGTCACATAACAAAATGACTATCGGTTTCACTGACAACATCTGGTTCAGCGAGAAAAAAAGATTTGTTGTAAATATAAAAACAATTTTGTACGACCTGAGATACATAGGAGAATATTAATCTCAGGTTTACGTATGAACTACAGATTTGGGATGTGTAGACTATTGAACACCTTGTATGTTACAAAGACTGCTTTTGAAAGTAATAACTGTATACTTCAGATTCCATTATATAAAACACAAATATTTGTTTCTAATAATAATTTTCACTCGAATTATTCACAAAAATTTATTACGGCATTTTTTCGGTTTTGTTATCAACAGTTCATCAATTGTTTAGCCTATGACTTAATAGGGTATATTTTCAGATAACAATATTTTATGTACATTTGTATAAAATCAATGGTTAAGCTTCATTAAATGACATGCAACTACGAGTGTACAGGCTGGAAAACGACTTATATCAATATGGAAACTGACCAAACCCATAAAGCATATAATTAATTGTTATTTTTGATTATAAAACGGTCATTTTCTTTAGCAGACGTCATTTATCACCATTGTTTTTGGTTTGTTAAACTGACTGATCTTCTTATTTTTACATCGATATCAAAAACATGAAACGCTGAATGGGTTCTGTCAATTTTTAGTTAATGAAAGGCATGGTATATCATAAAATATCAATTGCTGGCATAAATCATTTAAAAATTCGTAATGCCCATGATAATATAATTTGTATGTCTATGATCAAACAAATTATATATTCGATTGTTGAGATTATTTCTTGGTTTTCTCAGATAACAAAGAGACAATATCTCAACCACTCTAAATAAAGGCAAAAATATCTAGAGGTAAACATGCGGCCAAAAAAATAGACAGTCTGTATTAATTGTTAATATGTATGAAGTAAAATAACCAAACTACCGAACTCCAAGGAAAATTCAATATATCAAATGGCAAAATCAAAAGCTCAAACACATCAAACGAATGGAAAACAACTGTCATATTCCTGACTTGGTACAGGCATTTCTTTATGTAGAAAATGGTGGATTAAACCTAGTTTTATAGCTAGCTAAACCTCTCACTTGTATGACAGTCATATAGAATTCAGAGATAAAATTACTGTGAACTTCTCCTGGCCGATCTTTTCTTATTTTCACATAAGTCGGAGTTCCTACTGACACCAGTAAAAGATAAGAAGATCAAAGAAGCTAGATTATTTAATTTCACATACAGGTATATTGATGATTTTCTTTCAATTAACAACCCAAACTTGTCTGATTTGGTCCCATTATTATATCCTCCTGAACTGAAACCACAGATATAGCTTTCTCCGCATCATTCTAGACATTTACCTCGACTTTGACAACAGTGGTCATCTCAGTACTAGAATATATGACAGACGAGACGATTCCATTTTGAACGGTAGTAACTTTCTGAATTATCAGGAACTTTCTCTCAATGAAATACTGGTCTGCCATATGTTATCATTGAAAAAGTATCACTATATAATACAACTTTTCCAACACATGGCGTATGAAGTAGCCTTTGGAATGTTGGTATATAATTTTGTATTTTTGCAATGTGAAAACCGATGTAATGGCTGTTGTTGTAAAATCTAGTTTTCGACTGATCGCAAATGGCGGAAAGAGGCGTTAGCATGCCATTATAACAAAGTTGAACGTGAATTAAATAAATGATACTTATAGATGTACTACCTTCTTTTTATTTTTCAACAATCGGCCTTGCACGTATAAACGAAAGAATAAGCGACGTGTACAGACGTGTCCATAGAAATGCTACAATTTAATTCCAGCAAACACATTGGATATGTTGACAATGAAAAGACAATAAATTGGTAAAAAGTTTTGACATGCAGTGCATTGATTTTTATCTCTGATCAACGACAATCTATGATTAACCATACATATTATTTTTTGGTGAGGTTCGTGTTGCTCAGTCTTTAGTTTTCTACATTGAGTTTTATGTATCGTTGTGTATCTTTTAGTCGTTTTTCATTTTTTTCACATGGCATCGTCAATTTGTTTTCGACTTATGAGTTAGAATGTCCCTTCGGTATCTTCCGTCCCTCTTTTATAACTATAATCACCGAGAACTATAACATATCAAAATGTACTTACCATCGATTTTCAGAAATTACAATATATTACTTACAAATAAGGATATATCAATATCCCTGAAAGCTATACAATTTTATAATTGACTTAGCATGAAAGATGGGTGTACATGTTTGTCACTAAACGAAAGTGAATTATTACTTACCATCAGAAGCTTACCAGGGAATGTACGTCTCTACCACTGAGGGAAAACTATATCCTATAATCAAATGACCTACCATTCCAGATGAACGTTTATAACTGACATGAAAACTATAACTTACTTGTGAATAAGTCATTGAAGCCTTGTGAGATGGATTTATTTCCCTCTATCATTCCAGATGAACGTTTATAACTGACATGAAAACTATAACTTACTTGTGAATAAGTCATTATAGCCTTATGAGATGGATTTATTTCCCCCTATCATTCCAGATGAACGTTTATAACTGACATCAAAACTATAACTTACTTGTGAATAAGTCATTGAAGCCTTGTGAGATGGATTTATTTCCCTCTATCATTCCAGATGAACGTTTATAACTAACATCAAAACTATAACTTACTTGTGAATAAGTCATTGAAGCCTTATGAGATGGATTTATTTCCCTCTATCATTCCAGATGAACGTTTATAACTAACATCAAAACTATAACTTACTTGTGAATAAGTCATTGAAGCCTTGTGAGATGGATTTATTTCCCTCTATCATTCCAGATGAACGTTTATAACTGACATGAAAACTATAACTTACTTGTGAATAAGTCATTGAAGCCTTGTGAGATGGATTTATTTCCCTCTATCATTCCAGATGAACGTTTATAACTAACATCAAAACTATAACTTACTTGTGAATAAGTCATTGAAGCCTTATGAGATGGATTTATTTCCCTCTATCATTCCAGATGAACGTTTATAACTAACATCAAAACTATAACTTACTTGTGAATAAGTCATTGAAGCCTTGTGAGATGGATTTATTTCCCTCTATCATTCCAGATGAACGTTTATAACTAACATCAAAACTATAACTTACTTGTGAATAAGTCATTGAAGCCTTATGAGATGGATTTATTTCCCTCTATCATTCCAGATGAACGTTTATAACTAACATGAAAACTATAACTTACTTGTGAATAAGTCATTATAGCCTTATGAGATGGATTTATTTCCCCCTATCATTCCAGATGAACGTTTATAACTGACATGAAAACTATAACTTACTTGTCAATAAGTCATTGAAGCCTTGTGAGATGGATTTATTTCCCTCTATCATTCCAGATGAACGTTTATAACTAACATCAAAACTATAACTTACTTGTGAATAAGTCATTGAAGCCTTATGAGATGGATTTATTTCCCTCTATCATTCCAGATGAACGTTTATAACTAACATCAAAACTATAACTTACTTGTGAATAAGTCATTATAGCCTTATGAGATGGATTTATTTCCCCCTATCATTCCAGATGAACGTTTATAACTGACATCAAAACTATAACTTACTTGTGAATAAGTCATTGAAGCCTTATGAGATGGATTTATTTCCCCCTATCATTCCAGATGAACGTTTATAACTGACATCAAAACTATAACTTACTTGTGAATAAGTCATTGAAGCCTTATGAGATGGATTTATTTCCCCATATCATTCCAGATGAATGTTTATAACTGACATCAAAACTATAACTTACTTGTGAATAAGTCATTGAAGCCTTATGAGATGGATTTATTTCCCCATATCATTCCAGATGAACGTTTATAACTGACATCAAAACTATAACTTACTTGTGAATAAGTCATTGAAGCCTTATGAGATGGATTTATTTCCCCATATCATTCCAGATGAATGTTTATAGCTGACATCAAAACTATAACTTACTTGTGAATAAGTCATTGAAGCCTTATGAGATGGATTTATTTCCCCTATCATTCTAGATGAAGGTTTAACACTGACATCAAAACTATAACTTACTTGTGAATAAGTCATTAAAGCCTTATGAGATGGATTTATTTCCCCCTATCATTCCAGATGAACGTTTATAACTGACATCAAAACTATAACTTACTTGTGAATAAGTCATTGAAGCCTTATGAGATGGATTTATTTCCCCCTATCATTCCAGATGAACGTTTATAACTGACATCAAAACTATAACTTACTTGTGAATAAGTCATTGAAGCCTTATGAGATGGATTTATTTCCCCCTATCATTCCAGATGAACGTTTATAACTGACATCAAAACTATAACGTACTTGTCAATAAGTCATTGAAGCCATATGAGATGGATTTATTTCCCCCTATCATTCCAGATGAACGTTTATAACTGACATCAAAACTATAACTTACTTGTGAATAAGTCATTGAAGCCTTATGAGATGGATTTATTTCACTCAAAATTAAAGAAAATGTATACCTTATCTTTTAAGATGGATCCATCTCTTAGACAACAATAAAGGAAAATAACAATTGTTTAACTGACAACACTTACCATTTGGTCTTTATCGCTGACCATGCTAAAGGGTAAATATCCTTTCTTTGTATCTTCTGATGGTATGTACTGAAATAGAAGCAAATCTATTAATAATATAGATTTAATGAATCATTTTTATGTCAGCCTATTCGTTATTGTTACTATTAGTTTTGGAAGTTACATTTAAGGAACCTTTTTAGAGGTAAAGTTATCTTCCTTAAGTATTAAGGAAATATCTGTATACCCCATATATGTCTTTGTCCATTGTTGATGGTCGAATAGTGACATGATAACTTGAATACATATACTTCTAGTTATTTTTTTTATTGTTTCACATTTGTCCAATATATTTTAATCTGAACTTTATCCTTATGAGTTGCAGCTCAACAAGCTATAGGTTTCCTTCATCAAAATAGCGGTCAATACAATAGCTTATTTATTGCTATGTCCACTGTGCACTTAGTATATAAATATATCTGATTCCTGTTTTAATTCAAATGATATCTGCATTCCTGACACATTGCTATTAAGGATTGATCTATGAAAAACTTCATTCAAACACATGGGGTTATGTGGAGTGATTCTTTGATAATTGTTTTATGTCGGTAATATAAGAATTGGTCCGAGGACACAGTTATCGTCCTTAGATTTTCCAAATTTATTTCTTTATATTTTATGCATGAAATATTAAGTAAGGGGATGAAATAACATGTTAAAAAAATTTGGGTGCTGAATCTTCATGTTAAATAGTGATTTGGTCCAGTTAAAAAAGGTCAAAAACTAGTATGTCTGAAGCTGTCAAACTGAATTTTAGACCCCCTTAACATAGAATTGTCAATATTTTAAGTTAGAGCTGGTAGACTTTTCTATAATTTTGATATTATTTGTCCCAATAGTAGTACACAACACTGTAAAAATCTTTTTGAGATAGAGCAGATGCGATTATTTTTATTTGAATTTATTGTCTAGAAGAAATGCACTACGAAATAACTGTGTTCTCGGGCTTAAGAGATGAATTCAGGAAATGTAGATTCTGTACTTCGGCAACTTCCCTGAATGGTTTGCTGGTTTCAATTTGTCAAACACAATAAAAATAAAGGATTTACATCTTTATTTGAAAGAAATTCTGTAAAAATGTCCCATTTTGACATTATAAGGCTAAAATAAGCATTTAAAAGCAGTTTCCATTTTTAAGCCTAAGAGGCATGCTGACTTTCTATCTGACAGCTTTTTATGCTTTGATATTTGTGTTTCTATGATTAATTCAAATTCTATTAACCATTTATGAACTCTGAATAAAGAGAAATGTAGATTATCACAGAAAAAAATGTGCAAAATGTGTTGTATTTAGGCCCTGGTCGAACGGCCTGTTTGATGTATGTGAAATGTGAAGCGCTTTGTACATTATGTGTAGTCCATCATAAATATTTCACTAAATCTGTAAAAAAAAAAAGCACTTGACAATGATTTGTGCACCTTATCCATTTCATATACTACCTTTATTTTCTTCTTTAGGATAGTATGTGGTTGAAATATATGCCAGTTGAGACAAAATCTACATGCAAGTTTTCCATTGAAAAGTGAAAAAACTGTGCATCAGACCATACTGTCTGCAAAAAAAGTTGAATGCAAGAATCCTTTTGCAATTAGACTTCTTGTATCATGACATCTTAGCTTAGAAATGAGCAAAAAGTAACAAATTTTTAATTTCTTATAGCTTCTGTATGCATTTTTATATGTAAATATGTACTACGGCCTAAATTGACTCTAAATAATGTTCAGTCTTACATGGCCTAAGACCATTTTATACTCATGTGGTATGCTTTTTGTAACTTTTCTTTCCGTTTAAAGTACATTCAATATATATGGAAGAATAATTTATGGCAAAAAAACTTCAAAAACTTCAAATTGGTTGAAAAAAATGCATGTTTATGTAAGGCTCCCCTTAACTCGAAATCTCTTTTTTTAGGCACAGGCTCATATAAATTTGACTTTTGAATAATTGTAATAAATCTGATAAATCAAATGAGTGTTCAGTTGCTTTTAATACTTAATATTTTATATTTAAGAGCATTTAAAAAGCAAATTTTTGCAATATCTAAATTTTTTAAGCCCAAATCTTGATAGTTGAAATTATTTGATTTAAACGTCAAAATTAAACAACCAAATTTCAATATCAAAATGGCCATAGTTTCTATAATATATATCCTATGGCCATGGCACTGAGCCATCTATCTTATAATTCCCTAAGCTTAGGTCATGCAAAGCTTTATTAGAATGTGTCAAGTCTTTCTATACTATTAGGTCCGAGGACACAGTTATCGTCCTTAGATTTTCGTTGTCTACAAATATAGTCCCTAGTGTGGACAGTGTATAAAAACTGCAAACTTTTTTCATACACTTTCCAAATTTATTTCTTTATATTATATGCATGAAATATTAAGTTAGGGGATGAAATTACATGTTAAAAAATTGTGGGTGCTGAATCTTTATGTTAAGTAGTGATTTGGTCCAGTTAAAAAAGGTCAAAATCTAGTATGTCTGAAGCTGTTAAACTGAATTTTAGACCCCCTTAACATAGAATTGTCAATATTTTAAGTTACAGCTGGTAGACTTTTCTATAATTTTGATATTATTTGTCCCAATAGTAGTACACAACACTGTAAAAATCTTTTTGAGATAGAGCAGGTGCGATTTTTTTAATTTGAATTTATTGTCTAAAAGAAATGCACTACGAAATAACCGTGTTCTCGGGCCAATTATACAATGTGTAATCGTGTCATGTTTCATTCTAAATAAAGGTGATAGTTTCAAGCAATCAGACTTTTAATTATGCGCAAATATTGATTTAGCTCATAATCCTGCTTTTATGCAACACTTCGTCAATGTATTTTTTCTTACACATTGATATATACACTAATTCAAAATAATTTCTGACCTTTAATAACAAGCAATGGATAAAATTTATGACAACATCCACCCTACTTAATGGACATATGTAATAGCTAGAAATATTTCAATTTTCTCTAAATAATCTTTATTTTCAAAAATATGAAGAGAAATAATTCAAATATGATTTGCATCTCTACGAATACTTGAATATGATTGGTTCGTTTGAATATAAATTCATCATAGATACCAGGCTTATATTATTTTACGCCAGACACGAGTGTCGTCTATAAAAGAATTATACGTGACGCTCGAATCAAAAGTTTAAAAGGCAAAATAAAGTGCGAAGTTGAGGAGCATTGCGGACCAATCAGTCTGAAAGGTTTTGCCAAATACAAAACGTTTTCCCTTGGTTTACACTTCTATAGACCATGTTAACGAAACTACTTTCGTAGCATAGGAAAACATTATGTCGATTTCACTGTGATAAAAGCATGCATATTACACATAAAACGAAATCATTTGGTTTAATGAAAGCTGAAATTTGAAGAAAAGATAACACAATTTGGATTTAAAAGGATTAGGTTTATTTCTGAAAAACGTTCAACATATTCGGGGGTCGAATTTGTATGCATGCTCCTTAATAATCACAGTAGTCTTCGATCTAAGCATATACAATTAAAATTAATTTATACTCTTAAAGCGCTTTATTGATTTTTTATTAATTACCCTTGTCCATACATTAGAACACACATTTTGTAGCTGTTGCATTGATAATGAGCTTCTTTTCCGTACCAATATGCATTATGGCTTGTGTTTTCTGTATTTATTCATTTGATTGTTTTCTTTTTTATTATTGTTTTTATTTCTTGTGGTTTTGATAACCAACGGAATATATAACGCTCATCATTCGACATTTCTAAATCAAAACATAGGATCAATATAATACAAGTTAACTATGAAAATAAAGAGATATAATTAGAAAGCAATACAAAATATTGAACGACAAAACTGTGACGACAAATAGAAAAAAAGACAAAAAACTGTCTATGGAAGCATTAGGACTCCACTCCAGATGTCAGGTTTTAACATGCTTTAATGTTCGTTTTCAATTTGTGATGTGTTGAATTGAACCGTTATACGATTGCGACTATCACATTATAGTTATAAAACTTTAAAATTAACATCTATATACCAATGACACTTGTCACGTGTTACGAAAAAGGACTTTCGATTTCATTTCCATCGTAGCAAATGTTTACTTATGGTTTCAGTTTACAGTATATACTATCAATCACTTTTTCTTTGTTTGATCATAAATGGTCAAAATAAACATCACGGCAACATTTAACTGACTCTACATAAAATAAAGTCTAATATACCAGCCAAACCCTACGTAAAACTTTTACTTAGTGCACTACTTATATGACGGACAAAAAGAAAACAAATGTCACATTTATATGAAAATGAAGTATAGTACTTTTGTGATTAAAACAATATTTTACTGGAAATTTAAAAAAAAAATGTTTTTTTCTAATACAAGATTCTAAATCCGTATCGTTAGTATTTACTGTACTTTTGTAACCAACGACTGTGTGGTCGCTACTATCGGAGAGTTGAATAAAAAATGAACAGAAATACATATATTTATACATCCAAACCTAAAGCATAGTTGATTATTCACGTTGAAATTATCAATTTTGGTTGGATATTAGCTAATAATTTCCTTACAATTTGCTATGCAAAATTTCTAACAGCTATAATTGAACATACTCTCTTAACAATTGCAGAATCAAAATGTACTAGATGTATGAAATTTTGAATGAGACTTAGCTTTTGTTGACTTTTCGGATGCCTGACGATAGATGTGAACCATGTGGATACAGTCATTTCTGACATTTTAAAAAGAAAATGACAAAATATGAATACTCTTTATGTAATTCGCATGAATTATGGTCAAGTCTTACAATAGACAGTCATTTTACGAGAATTTAGTTAGGCTAGAGAATTCATAAGAAGATGTAGATTTGGAAACGATAATCAACTTGCGATTAACATTGGGCGTTGATTATCGTTTACGAACTAATTACTTCGTATAAATTATCTAATACTTATTTACCACAAAGTTTTGGAATTATCGGCCTTTAATGCTCTTCAACTTTGTATTTGATTTGGTCGTTCAATTGTTTTGATTCGAGCGTCGTGGGTCTAATGTATACGAAACGTGTCTAGCGTACACAATTATAAGCCCTTTATCTTTGATGAGTTTTTTTTCTAGATGTAACAATAGCAAAATGAAGTCTTAATACCAAAATAAATGAAGACCGAAGTGGAATTGTCTTAACCTAAAGTTAGCTTATCCATCCTTGATGGTCAAATGGTTATTTTACGTTGATTTTCCTTTCATTAGTTTATAATTATGTATTGAGCAATGAACAGTCACATGAAAAAGACTGGTCACTGAATCCAGGTACTAACAACTTACCACTCGGGAAGGACTGTAATCGGCATTTTCTAACCGAATACATAAAATCTTTGCGAAGAAATTGTGACAAAGGCTCTTAATGAGTTGAGGAACCTGTCTGCCTCTATGACCCTTGTGGTGAATATTCAAGGTAAACACAGTCATTCCGGTTGCCGTCGAAACAATACTTATTGTGATACCATAGTATATACCTGTAAATAAACAAAGTTTATATCAACGATAAAATGATCAGCATTGACTAGTTATACTACGAGTATGAATGTCCCTTTGGTATCTTTCGCTTCTCTCTTATACTAGTTATACCAGTTATATATGTATACTAAACTTACGTCCCAAAAATTGTTCATCAATGAGATGACTCAGGACAAACAATGTACGATATTACATTGTTGATTATTGGTATATCAATTAATCATAAGTAAAAAATTATAAAATTCTTTTTTATTTACAATACATGTCTTTGTATTTGAGATGATCATGGTTTTGTTATTTAAGTCGTACTAACACTAGCGATTATCTATTTCTTGTTTATAAAATCGCTGAAAGCGACTTATAACCGGATATTTACTTGTCGTATTTGCCAAGAACTTATGTGTTACCAATTAATAGTATAATGTTTTTTCACTTTTTTCTTTCTTCAGGAGTTGGCATGATAAACGTGCCGATATTTGTATATTTTGTGTGTTCTTTTCAAACAATAGTATTGTGTATGACGTTTGTTAAGAGTTTTCTTTTATGTAATTCATAGATTACAAAGGTGTGCTACCCATTATAACCTTTAAGCGCAATATATAAGACAAATAATGACACCATCAATAATAATTGAGATAGCAAAAACAACTGTATAAGAACTTACCTATTAGGGGTAATACATTAGATGTCGGTGGCATATTTTCAGCTACAAGCATCATAAATACTGTCATAGATAGTAATGTTGTTATTCCCATTGTCACCTTTTCTCCCGAATCAGACGGAATATAAAAACCTAACAATGCCACTAATGTTATCAAAATGCATGGCATTATCATGTTAAAGATATAAAACAGAGGTCGACGTCGTATATAAATATAAAAGGTTATATCAGGGTAAGGTTCGGCACAGCAGGAATAATACATAACATTTCTTTCTACGTACAACTTCTGAAGGCTCCATTCACTATTTTTAATATAGTTTGAGATGTCCCCCTCCGTTGTTGTCAGGGATAAGTTCACCTGGAAACCGTCATATGTCCACGAAGCAAAAGTCATTGAGCAGTTTTGTTCATCGAATGGGAAATATCGCACATTTATTGAACAAGTGCTTTTGAAAATTACCATAGAAAGCCACGTAACATTTCCATCGGAGGCAACGATCATATTTGAGCTTAACGAGGAATAGAACGTAGAAATATCTGCACTGAAAGGTAATAAATCATCAATCAATAATAGATTTTGTCATTACCAATACTAAAAAATCTCAACAAATAGTTACCATTAAATGTGTAGTTATTTACAATAATAATGCAAAGAAACATATAGCATTAAAGATAAACATTACTTATCTTTACTGTAAAAAAATTCCGTTAGATATTTACAATTGGACGTTATGAAACAAAAATCAAATAATGATTCGAAACAAAACAAACGCATGTACAAAACAGGTAAACATCATCCCAAACATTTAACATGTCTGCTGGTATTATGTTTTGTCTTTTATCTTGGTCACGAGAATACCTGGTTGAGGTTATTCTAGAATTGTGTTTTACAACCATTGGATCATTTACGCTGTTAGTGGATTTTAGTACTCGGGTGTACCATCCACCCACATGCCAGTGCATGCGTATTGGCATTTATTAAATGATGTATATTGTCTCTAAATTTTCATTTCATATGATATGTATTTTATTGTAGAATAATAGGGTTACATTTTGCTGAGGCAAATTACACATTATAAAGTTTTGACGGCTATATTTTTGGCCTCTTTGGTCCTGATGCATTCAAACATTTTCGGCTTTCCAAAGTTTTTAGTTTTGAGTGAACCTGATAAAACACATATTACGTTTAAATGCCACTGTATTGGACTACACTATATAATGGTTTACATAAGTCAGGAATATGACAGTTGTTTTCCATTCGTTTGATGTGTTACAGCTTTTGATCATGGACTTTTCGTTTTGAAGTTTCCTTGGAGTTCGGTATTTTTGTTTTATTTTACTTTTTACATGATACATTTGTCTGCTAATTTCCAGTCCATGTTTATCATATCAATTACGTGTAATAGTGTTCTTTTTTTTTTTGGCCTTGCACATTTTTAACCTTTACTGTTAAGTCCAATTTTAGTAATATGCTTTTGGCGTGGCTAAGTATTTATACATCTCGCCATTGTGTTATTGTGCTATGGTAAATTTTGTATTCTTGTCTTTCATTTTTGTCTTTTAACTTTGTCTAAAGAGTGTCTATATCTTTGTTGAATTAGTTATTTGTTTTTATAGTGATTAAGATTAAAACACAATGTTGACTGGTGTATCCCAATTTTTGACATTTTTACCTATTATGTCTGTTTGTTTTGCTTACACAGTATTGTCAATATTATGGAACTCTATGCGACTGTCATACAAATGAGAGGTTTAGCTAGCTATAAAATCAGGTTTAATCCACCATTTTTTACATAAAGAAATGCCTGTACCATATCAGGAATATGACAGTTGTTTTTCATTCGTTGGATGTGTTTGAGCTTTTGATTTTGCCATTTGATAAAGGACTTTACGTTTTGAATTTTCCTTGGAGTTCGGTATTTTTGTTATTTTACTTTTTTCACATTATATAAAACTTGAAACTCCCAGTCACCGTTGATATAAGATGCTTTCGGTCTTCTTTGGCTTCAAATGTTTTAATAAGTTTTGTTTCAACTCAAGAAGTTGTTTCCAAAACACGTGCTATGTGCTCATATATCATAACATACGTTTATTACAAACTAAAATGTAACACATTGTTGAAATACTTAAAAATTTTGATGCTCTAAAGGTTTACATATATGATGATATATCTTTTTCAATATTCTATAAAACAAAACAGTTGAACATTTGATATCACTTGAGGTTTTTGGTGGGGTTAGTGTTGCCCAGTCTTTAGATTTTTTATATAGTGTTTGGTAGATTTTTGTTAGTTTTTTCGTCTTTTTCCCTTTTTGCAATGATTTAGTCGGTTTTTCTACGTCATTTAAGTTTAATGTTCTCGTTATAATCTTCCGCTTCTTTTTTCAATTCTTAAAAACTCACTTATTATATAAGAAAATATCTGGTTTCCAAACGAGATCATGTGGCAGACGTATAACTTCTATCCCTCCATATTTCTTTGGGTCCCACGATAATCCATTGTCCTTCCACATCTGAAAAGGTAAGATTTTATCTTTATTTTTCATTGAAAAGGAAAAGAAAACCGTGTGGTAGCTTGCTTTGAGAATTGAAATTACCTGTTCAATTACAGATTCCCAAGGTAAAATAATTAATTGCGTGAACTATTTTCGTTTGTATTTACTTTTTTTACTATTTTATTATTTTCTGATTTATATTTTAATTTACTTATCCTTTGAGATATTTATTTTTTGCAGACAGCCACGAGACAAAGTTACTTGCACTACTTCCAATCCAATAGCAATCAAGGTCTTTACTGAATTATTTACAAATTTAATGTGTAATTACCATCACTCCTCAATTCCCTCAGTTTCTGTTGTTTACTTTGATTTGAGTCTTCCTATGGGATATGTGAGATTTGAACATCGATAAATTACGTTGCCTCTAATTTAAACAGGAAAGGTAGTATATATGTAACCCCTATCAATGATGTAAAATTGTTCATAAAGGTTTGATGTAGAGAGAAAAAGGAAAATAACAAAAATACCGAACTTAAGGAAAATTCAAACCGGATATTCCCCTATCAAATGGCAAAATCAAAACCCCAACCACATCAAACGGATGGAAAACAACTGTCATATTCCTGACTTGGTACAGGCATTTCCTTATCTAGAAAATGGTGAATTAAACGTGGTTTTATAGCTAGCTAAACCTCTTACTTGTATGACAGTCGCACAGAATTCCATTATATTGACAACAATGTGTGAGCAAAACAAACAGACATAATAGGTAAAAATGTCAAAAATTGGAGAACAGCAGTCAACATTGTGTTATAATCTTAATCACCATAAAACAACTATTTCAACAAAGAAAAACAAACTGGCATATAGACACTTCACAGACAAAGTATAAAAGCAAAAGACAAGAATACAAAATATGACCACAGCACAATAACACAACGGCAAAAAATGGAATAAACAGTAAAGGTTGAAAATATACAAAGACAAATAAAAAAAACGCTATTTGATTTGAAACATATTTTATTCATTAAGATAGGAAAAGGATTGAGCAACAGGCACAGCCTATAAAAGCTCTCTTCATATTACATGTACAAGGTATAAATCAAATACTAACAACTGTATCTAAAATAATATAATATAGTGCAACATGCATGCTACTCATGCGCACACACAAGCAATATATGTTTACAGTGTTAAATACTAAATGTAAAGTATATTTAAGTATATAGGCAACTACTCATCATTTATTCAAGTACCTTGAAACATGTAAATATCCATTATAAGTCATTAGAAATATATATATATATGGTTTGGAAGAGACACTAAGCTAGCTTAGTGGAATTAATGAATTAATGTTGAAGTGGAGAAAAAAAAATAACACTAAATAAAACAAAAATTAAGAAAATTTCAAATAAAACGTTGAGTGTCACTGATATATTTCTGAACAGATTTTAAAATAGCAATATTCATATGATATGACAATAATCTGTTTCCAAACAGTAATAGTTCAATATTTATGTCAACATTATCAACAATGGAGTAAATGGAATCAAGTAGGATCTGTCTTACATCATTGTACTTAGGGCAAATCAAAAAGAAATGTTGGTTATCCTCAACAGGGTGATTACAGTTTGCACAAAAAGTGTTCTCTGATAAGAACTGATTAAACAAATGTGAATTTATGTTGCTAGCATTATTTCTGAGTTGACAATGACTTATATTAAGTTTCCTTATCCCATAGTTGAAAGGTTGAAATATTTCATCAGTCCTATAAAACTTGTCCAGTCCACTTCTAAATATACACAAACTTGGGGACGCTATAACACGTAATTAAGATGATGAACAACGTGAGTGCCTAGAATCTATACTTCAAGACCATCATGTATTATTTGTGAAATTGATACGGAATATTTATCAACAAGGTCTTGGTATCTTCCGATTAACTTTTTTAGAAAATGGACGAGACCTTCTTTGACATAACCTTGAGAACGTTAACTTATTTGTTTATCTACTTTCAACCTTTCACTTACTTACTTACTTACATCTTGACTTAAATCTAGAAATTGACGATGAGGGTAGGTTGAAAACAAAACCTAACTTCAAAAGAGATGATTTCAGCTTCCCAATTGTGAACTTTCCTTTTCTATGTAGCAAAATTCCAGCACGACCTGCATATGGAGAATATATCTCCCAGTTGATGCGATATACCAGGGCTTGTATTTTCAATCATGATTTTCTTGATAGAGGGTTGCTGCTCACAAGGAAGCTATTAAACCAAGAGTTCCAAGTGGTGAAGTTGAAATCATCCCTTCGTAAATTTTACGAACGCCATCACGAGTTGGTTGACCGTTATGGAACATCTGTTTCACAGATGCCGACGGATATGTTCCACTTGTTGTAATCTCAATCCCGACCATTTTCCCCAATTGTGACATACCGAATTAGACTTATCACCGGGTTTGTACTTACATGAGCAACACGATGGGTGCCACATATGGAGCAGGATCTGCTTACCCTTCCGGAGCACCTGAGATCACCCCCAGTTTTTGGTGGGGTTCGTGTTGCTCAGTCTTTGTTCTTCTATGTTGTGTTTTGTGTACTGTTGTTTGTCTTTTAGTCTTTTTCTTTTTTTGCCATTGCGTTGTCAATTTGTTTTCGACTTATGAGTTTGAATGTCCCTTTGTTATATTTCGACTCTCTTTCACACAAATGATGGCCTAGAAAAAAAATGACTTTATGGTGTATGATATAATAGGCATTAAACACAGCCATATTCACAATTTATGGATAAGTGTTTCAGATGCATATTTATTCGCATTATCGGTTTGTATTTGGAACAATTTGTATGTCTAAATAAGACAAATTTTAAAATCGGTAAACTGATATACGAATTATTGATTAATAACAAAAAGCTAACAAAAACAAACAAAACAGCAAATATAGAATCAGCTCAGCAAAGGGGCATAACAGTACAATACAACTTACTTTATTGGCTAAGGGGCATAAAAGTACAATACAACTTACTTGATTGGCTAAGGGGCATAATAGTACAATACAGCTTACTTGATTGGCTAAGGGGCATAACAGTACAATACAACTTACTTGATTGGCTAAGGGGCATAACAGTACAATACAACTTACTTGATTGAGCCAGCAATTTGTTGTTAATATCTGGTTCTTTTCATCCTAATATAAAATTATATATAAATATTATTTCAACAAGTTGAAAAGGGTCATCAGGATGATTGATATATATATAAAAGAATATGGAACTTAAAAAGATTACACAAGAAACGGTGAAAAAAAAAGACTGCATTTTTAGGTCAATACATATTATTCTTGTCTAGATATATTCGAGATTTAAACCAAATTAGACTTATCACCGGGTTCCACATGTGGAGGTGGATCTGCTTACCTTTCCGGAGCACCTGAAATCAACCCCGGTGCATTCAATGTCTACAATGTTTAACTCTTATCTGGAGTCGTATCAATGAAATTTGATCATTTTGGTGTGTTTCTGCCTTTAGACACCTCAATATTGAAATGTACAGAACAATTACAACAGTTATTATACATTACCACATCTATTATCTGTGACAAAGCTAAACCAAATGTTACATTTAACGACTGGGATGCATTCTTAGATGGACGGAGTCTCTTATCATAAGCTCTCATCAAATCTCGCACGAGACGATGTTCATTGTCGTCTGCTACTGTCAGTAAAACTACAATAAATAAGGCGAGCGGTTTTGAAATAAAATACGAAACAACAGTTATCTTTTATTAATACAGATCTCTATGTGAACTATATTTACTATGAAACGGTATCATTTATAACAAATGGAGGGCAGCAGAATTCGTGATAGCGACCACAAAACTTGTATTGCGTCGATTTCAGTAAGAACCTGCTAGAGTAGTTTTTGTATGTCAATAGCACACATTATTAATGAAACCAATTGAATGCATGCGACCAACAAAGATGTGTTAACGCCATATGATGGGACAAAGGGTGTGTTTTTTTTAAAACGACAATGGCAAATCTGAAATAGTCAAATTTGACATTGATCATATATCAAAATATTACATCTGTGGCAATTTCGGGAGGGTGATCTAGAAAGAAAGCAGGCATTTTTATTCTTATCACAGATACATAAAAAGGTTAAACAACATTATTTTTTTTGCAAATCATTCAGTAATTATATATTTTTGTTTAGTATCGAAACGGTCTTAACTCACTGTGACATTGTGATAAGAAATAGAATATCCAAATATTGTGTCTATAACTTTACAAAACATTATTCTCTCTCCGTCTTTCTTAAATTCCCTTATAGTATTTCCCTGTTTGGCGATTGTTTTTTCTATAATATTTGTTGTTTGCTCCTTTTGTTCTCGTATTTAGAGTGTAAATTAGAATTAGAATTATCGTCTTGTTTATAAAATCTATTATGGCTCCAAATTTTTCTTTTTTTTTTAAGTGAATTTTTTTTTATCTATATATTGTGTTTGACTTCTTACCTATCTTTTTTTTTACTAATTTAGCATTTTTGGCTTCGAGCATAAGTGAAGAAATTTTTGTTGTCGAATTGAGCATCTGGTGCAGTAAAATTGGTACCGCTAATGTTAATGCAATTTAAAAGGTACTTAATGCTAAATGAACATGAAATCAATTAATATGAGTTTTAAAAAATAGTAGAACGATTGGCTGATAGAATAGAAAGACCTCCAGATATTAATTAAAAAGATCATGTCTCGTGTACAAATAAAAATTTATATAAACTTGGGTAAATGTTAGAATTGCTCATACCACAAGTAAATGAATATAAGTCACTATAAAAATCAGAAGATGTGGTAGGATTGCCAATGAGACAACTCTCCACAAGAGACCAAAAGACACAGAAATTAACAATTAAAGGTCACCATACGGCCTTCAACAATGAGTAAAACCCATATTGCATAGTCAGCTATAAAAGGCCCTGAAATGACAAATGTAAAACAATTCAAACTGGAAAACTAACGGCCTGATTTATGTACAAATTAGTGAACGAAAAACAAATATGATATGCAGCAACAAACGACAACCACTGAATTACAGGCTCCTGACTTGGGACAGGCATACATTTGTATAAACATCTTCTGAAATAGTGTATTTTTTGTTTAGAATTCAGATATTGAATATCAACCTACCGACTTTAATTGAAATACGTGCTGATAATTATACTCTATATATGTTTTTGGTACAATTAAAATTAAGCTACGCAAGCTTTGTCATGTATTATGTATAAATGTACAATTTCATTGTTATTATCTCTTTTTCAATAATAAATACTGTTTCAACTAAGCTCTACTTTAATGATATACCTCAAGTACCAGAACAAAAGGAGGGGGGTGCGGGGGTTAGGAATAAACGTAGGTATTCTAATGATTTCAAATGGTATAAACTCATAATAGATACCAGGATTAAAATTTTGTACACCAGACGCGCGTTTCATCTCCAAAAGACTCATCAATGACGCTCGAATAAAAGAAATCATAACGGCATTGAGGACCCAGAATTCCGAAAAGTTTTGCCAAATACAGCTAAGGTAATCTATTCCTTGGGTAGAAAATCTTTAGTATTTCGAAAATTCACAATTTTGTAAACAGTTAATTTATAATCATTACCATATCAATGATAATTCATGTCAACACATGTATACCAGCTAATAGTTATTAAGACAATATATAACTTTAAAAGGTAATATTGTAAATTGCTGTCTTTCTGTAGGAACTCTGTACTATTGTACATGTCAGTTAAGCTCTCCAAAATGAAATTAAAAACAAAAAACATCTGATTCAGTCTGAAGGGAAACCTGAAACTTACTGGATGACTATTAAAGGGAAGACCCATCAAAGACACTAGGCGGATATTTCTACATTAGACTCGTCAGTGGTGTTCGAAAAGTTGTGCCATCTATGCATTGAAGTGGAAAATCCTTAGTGATTCAATGTATCTTATCTTAACATTTTATGAATATAAATTTACAGAAAATGATCGTATCATTGATAGTTAAGGTCAGCACAAGTCTGCTGACCACTGTATTAGGGATACCCTCGGGGAAGAAACGTCCACTGGCAGTGGCACAAACGCAGCGGTTGATAAAACATGGAGAGTTTGATATAGGAGAAAATTGACCAACCAATTATTGACAAATGTAAAAGAAAAGATTTACGTTGAATTTTACAATATTGGCATGTTTAATATTTATGAAGTAAATCCGGATTTAAGACCATTTCATTCGAAATTAAAAGGTAGATATCAAAACAAGGTTTCTTATAGAAAAGTACTTACTATATGAAAATGCTGATAATGTCAATTGGAAAAGGATGTAGATGTTCGACTTTTAAGGAACTTCGACAGAAACCTTTAATGACCGCAGTCAGGAAAAAAAGACATTTATCAATGAAATTTTGAGGTAAAGAAATACAAGTAGTAGAAAGGTAAGAAAATTTATTGGAAGCGAGAATCTTCTAGTACAAGCAATTATAGACAATCATAAACTAGAACAAGGGGACAATTCTCTCAATCAATGGACTTTTTAACTACATGAATTAAGGCAACAGTAGTCAAAAAATTTTCAAATCTCAAAAATCGTTTAAGAAGACACAAATCAAAATAACATTTAGAAACTGAAGGAATCGCATGAACCGTAAAAGGAGCGAGACCGGATGCGTCGGCATGGGGTATCGTCTCTTGCTATACATATATCACCAGCTATTCGAATCTTCACTCATTCAAAATACCACAATCGGGAAAAGGACACAATTGGTAAAATTACAGATCAAAGATTTAATGAATAATCTGGTATCTCAAACCGCGAAAGCATGTCACTAGTGAGATTGTATACATTGTATCGGTCAACCAATTCGTAATGGTGACCGTAGAGTGTGAACATACGGGAGGGTAAAAGAGAGGCAGAAAATGTTAAAAGGACATTCAAAAGTCAATGACAAACCGACGACAACATGGTAAAAAACGAAATACGACCAAAAGACAACCATATACAAAACACAACATAGAAAACAAATGAATGAGCACCACAAACCTCACTAAAACTGGGCTGATATCAAGTCCTCCGAAAGAGTAGGAGATCTTATTCAAATGAGGCATCCATCGTGTTGCTCACGTTAGTACAAACTTGGTGATAAGTCTAATTTGGAGACGTCAAATTCAAGGAAAAGAAGGCGGAATTGCGTTTCTGACAATTAGAACATATCCGTTGTCATCTGTGACACAGATTTTCCATATCTTTCAACCAAATCGTGATGGCGTCCGTAAAATTTTCGGAGGGGTGATCTCAACTTCAATAGGAACACTTGGTTTAACAGCTTCCTTGTAAGTCACTATCAATGAACTCATTATTGGAAATGCAAGCTCTGGAATATTGTATCTACTGGTAGATATATACTTTATATGCTGGAAGCTGAAATCATCTCTTTTGTCGTAAAGTTTTGTTCTCAAATGACCCTCATTGTTAATTTCTAGATGAAAGTAAAGATATAGGATAAACTGAACTGTATCTGGTGTATTCTTTATTTCAAGTTCAATGGGATAGGTGCGTTTAATATAGTTACCAAACTCTGAATAATTCAGTGGCGTGTCAATTGAGATATATAAACGCATTTCGACGGGGCTGATGGTATGTTACCAGCGAGAAATTGGAAAGTTTAAATCATCACGTTTGTAATATAGATCCTAGTTTGAAGTCGCCAATCTGTGTCAATGTCGAGGAAAAGATCAACATATTTAGCAGACCATCTCGTTTCGGTTATATCCTTACTCGGAGGTTCACTGGGATATATGAGATTCAGGCACTCACTGAAACGCGGGTTAATAAATGAAGGACATCATCAATATATCTGAGAGTGCTTTTAAAGATTTTTTTTCTTTTCTTTACAAAGGTTCTGTATGAATTATCCTACATACGAGTACAAAACTGCGTCGGCCAGAAGGGGTGCACAATCAATATCCAGTGGAATACCGAATGTCATAATATAAATTGAAAACGAAAGCAGTTTACCGATGTTAAAAAAGAAATCATCAAAGATACCAAAGTTTTCGATGAACAATCAAGGAATATGTTTTCGTTATATGTACATTTATATAAAAAATAAAAACCCGTTCACACAGGACTACATGCATTGACTATGAAGAAAATATAAATAAAAGTACCACAAAGAAACACTGCAATAGGCAAACTAACACACATTAAAAAAAACAAGATCTTTTCTGTCGGACTATAATAGAGTTAAGTGAAGGCCACATGAATTTATTTACTCATTATTTGGTAATGAAAACGAAATTAAATATCGTTTTTCTTACTTACGCAAAGGAAACAAGTTATCTATACGGTAAGTCTGACGTATAGCATCAAACGTCCAATCAAGTGAGGCTTCGGCAATTAGAAGGCTACTGTAAAAATTAGATAACCATTTTACACAAGTGTTTCCTGGAAATTGATCACCAGTAAATAGTTAGAAGCCACATGCGGTCAGAGTTAAATGGAAGGGATCAAATTCCGTGTGTGGTAGTCAACATTCAGATGACTTTAAGGTTGATTAATGAGAATTGAAATAGGGAATATATCTCTTAGCGGAAGCTTTATCCACAAATTATACTTCTATATCTATAAAGAAATACAAACGAGATTATTAGGCTTACAGTAATATTCTTTCTATCATTAACGTTTGTTTGTTCGCCAGTAATGGATTCTATTAATGTGCAGAATACCTAATATCGGTTGTTTGTTTTATTTTATTATATCAAATCATGTTTCATTCTCATAAATTCATTTTATATTCTTATTTTAGAACATGTTGATTTAAACGCCTCCGTTAAAATTGAAGGTTGGATTAAAGATATTCATGCAAACTCTACTCCAGAAGAAACTATATGCGTGATTAGTGGATGGCAACGTTGCAAGGTTGCAACTAACCTTATCTTTCCTTCTCGTGGCTTCGGTTTACTTGATACAAAGTTTTGTATTTCATTTGCTATGTTTGCCTTAACATTCTAATAACCTAGCTAGAGACAACGGTGAGTTACCGATATTTAAATATCGTAGAATATCATATGTAATATATTAAATCAAAATAAAAACAAAACCTGAGGCCACCAAATGAAATAAAAAAAGAGCGAGATCGGATGCGTCTAAAATATAATCTTCCCCTGCTATGCATGCGTCTTCTGTCATGCGAATCAACACTATGTCAAACAACAGTTTCCTGTCTTTGCCTTTTAAACTGGCGTCATCGTACCATCAGAAATGAAAACACATTTTTTCCATGGAAAATTGTAGAAAACATTTAAAGGGTATTCTTAGTTATTTGGTGTATGTCTCATCGGTGTATATCCTACGTATATTCAATCTTCCATATTCCCCTTAAAAAGTTATATATTATAAAAGTACCATCAAGCTACATAAACAGCAATCAAACCAATAGCAGGTAAACAATTAAACACTAATGATTTTTCTGTTAATATATCATTTAATTGCTGATTTCCAAGGAAATAGTATGTAACAAAAGTATATTTTTCTATTTTTCTTCTCTTAAACGTAAAAGTTATCATTATTATCATTATCTGATAATTTTTACTTAGAGAAACCTATATAGAAACAAAGTTTGAGTAAGTGAACTTTCATGTAGAGTGAAATTAGAAAGATTGGCATATAAATAACACGTACTGCAATCAAGAGAGAGTTTGGGATGGATTGTACATCCTTCTCATTTAACAAAGTACTTAAAGCCAGAGAGTGATCTGAAATGTTTTGATAGGATGTGTTTATTTTCCTCATATTGCCCAGTACTACAGTTGACTAAAGTAGATGATATTGAAGGATTTGTATATTCTCCATATATTAACTACGGAGAAAGTCAAACATGCACTTGTTTTAGAATAATCATATCAAGATGTAATTATCCTACGATATTGAGTAACAAACAAATATTTCATGCAGCTTCCATTGTAGGTGTTGCAGAACCCATCTCACGAAATGACATTCGCACAGATTAAAACGTGACGACCTTCCGTTGATACCATGTTATCCGCACTATTCAAAGTAATGTCATTTATATGGAATACGAAGTCTTTTAAGAACTATTTTGTCGCATGTTTTCGGTTGCATTTTATAAAACAGCGTGATCAATTAATAAGACATGAAGATTAATTTAAAAGCAACAGTTGCTTATTTCTTTGGCAATCTTTAAAAATCGTGTCCTTTAGAAATAATTAAGTCAGCGGAGATAATGTTATTTAATTGTATCCAATATTTTTTCTGTGATTTATTGTCATAAACAAAAATTACTCATGATTGGGCATCAAAATCTGATTATAAAGACTAATAGATAAAGATTCTGTCTTTTAAATGATTCATTTTCAGGAATAATAATATTTCAAAAGCTTCATAAATCATACATGAAAACATCATAAACTTATTATTCAGTTTTATTTGGAAGGTAACCGACTATTCATACATAATTCAAATATTCAATCTCTAATATCATGCGACAGGAACTGATCACTGGTGCATCCCCGTTGTTTTGGTTGGTTTGTGTGTTGTATTGTTTTTGTGTGATGTTTCTTTGATGGTGTTCTTTTGTATATTGTCTTGTACATTTTTATTCGACTTATGGTTGTGGCTTTTTATTGCCCGTTAATATCTTACTTTTGTTAAATAGCATTTTATGGTTTCAAACCATGCGATCTTGTTTGAAATTTTGACTTCGTATGAAACCTTTATAAACATTACACTATGTACCTGTATGTTGTAACCTTAGCTTTCGCTCAAAATACAACAAAGTACAAATACAAAATCATAAGTTGTGATAAGAAAAAAAAAAAACAATACGAAAACACAAAAATAATTTATCCATTAAATCATAAGAAACTAAGAAGTGAGCAACACGAAAGTTATCTTAACAGGGAGGAATTCGTGTGCTCTTGATATGTAAGCAGTCGCTGCCCTGCTAGTGGCAACCGTCATATTCGCCAGTAAAACTTATGATAAGTGATAAAAGAGGAAACAATTGTAGAATTGTTGAAACTGTCGTCATTAGTGACATGTATTCCGAAATAGTCAACCAAGATATGATGATCTCAATAAACTAAATAAGTATCAAATGCTATGGAATTAATGTAATACAACAGGATTGAAAGCACTGACTTGAGGTTGATGAACTTTTGTTTTACATTAAAAGTTTTAACTGTGACAGACCTAATGTGTTTAGATGGTGCAATTAGTTCTTTAAAGATAATAACATTCATGATTTAATGTACAAAACAATCTGTAAGTTGAAGTTATTTTGTTTTTAAAAAGATTAATAAAATGAGAGTGTCATTAAAATACATATTGACGCGTTAAGCTGACACTCATCTTCCGTAGATTATTTGTGATTCATGATATTGCATTAGATGCTTCCTAAAAAAACCTGTTCTACTCTTTGTATTGATTTGGTTTCAAGTCCACTATCAAACTTGCAAGAGTGAAGGACGCATTATGATAATTTCAATTTAAATTCTTAAAACATTTTTTCAACAATTTTGTATAAAAAGTAAAACAATAAAAATACCGAACTCCAAGGAAAATTCAAAACGGAAAGTCCCTTAACAATTGGCAAAATGAAAAGCTCAAACACATGGTGGATTAAATCTGGGTTTAACGCTAGCTAAACCTCTCACTTGTATGACAGTCGCATAAAATTCCATTATATTGACAACAATGTGTGAACAAAACAAAACATCAAAATTCTATTTAGCTCAATATATTGCTGTTGAAGGTATTTTGAAACAAATTGAAAATTACCTGTTTTTGTCAAATTTAGCATTGAAGGACCTAGCTAACCAAAATTATTATTATTAATTGTATTTGTTTAGACATTGGTGAACACAGTAATATGTAATATGGTAATAATGCAAAATAAATTAACAAGAGTGACGATATTAATGGCAAATAACAAACAACTTCCAGTTAGAAACGCACATCAATCAGTATTAACTACCAATAACTAACTTGCCTGGAAGGAAGGCATATTAAACACCACCAAATATCTACTAGTTCGTCCTTGGAAGAAAAGCATACCAAATTATTAATAATAGAAAAAATAATTATAATAACATGCATTCCCATATTTGACACTTCACACTAAAAAAATTAGATCATTATCAAAAATCCTCTCATAGATTTTAACTATGGTCACATCTAATATTTCATGAATAGTACTATCCTAGTAATGAAAATCGTGTAGTCGCATCTGTATTATTATAAAATATTTACACTTTTATATAATGTAGATTCATGTGAATCAATTATTGATAGAAGCATTTAGAAAGATTCTTTTAGCCAAAAATTACTATACGAAATAGTTATAGCACGGCATTTTTTACTATACAAATTTATACTAACATGACCATACTCGTCCGGCCTACTTAATTGCTTGTTTTTCAAAGAATCCTATTTTATATTAATTATAAAAATCATAGCTGAAAAAAAATAGAAAAGGAACCTACTACGAGAAAACGAAATAGAAAAAAAAACATCTATACAAAACAAAAAAAAATACAAATATAACGTCATAAAAGAATATACTTATGTAAAAAAATCACAAAAATCAAGCAGAAAAGAGAGCAAACATTTCTAAAATCACAGAATATGTTTTTCTTTCTTTTTTATTGCATGTTTTTATACAAAATTCTAACAAAAACCTTACCTGTGATATTTCCAAGAAAAAGAAATAGGTACCAGGCCATTCTATAAATCGTATGTCCACACACTATTACTTAGCACGTAATTCAGTCATTAGTAACTCTGAATGTTGATTTTTGCTGAACATTCTAATTGTCACAAACATTAGTATATCAAAATAAGAATGACAATCGCAGTTGATATATTGTTTTGTAAAAATTCCGACTACAAAATAATACTGAAACTAGTAAATGTCTGTATTTTCAGAGAAAATTAGTTTTATGTCAAAATCAAATAAATTTAAATTAAAAGTTAACTTCATTAAAAGTGATCTGAGCGAAAGAAATAAACGACTCCGTAATTACTGTGAGGTTGAGATTTGTAAAGAATTGATCTGAATCAGCTGAGTGATTGATAAGTTGGATCAATTGCAATCCTTCTGTCATCATTTTAGAGTCAGAAGCATTGTGACCTTACCTCTCGATGTTAAACAATCGATGATTCTGTCTTGTAGATTTTTTACGTTTATTTATGCTGTATTACATAAGTGTTAAATGAATTGTATGAAACGGTTTCAAGTAAATAGATTCCATTGATTTATAGACATGTCTTGTACAGGAAAAGCTGAACAAGGTGAAAAACTTTATTTATAACTTTTCATTCTTTTTATTAAGAAAAACAATATATCATGATAATAGCATGCTTACATGCACATACAATCTGTTCATCATTTATTCAAGAATTTTTTGTTTGTATTCCCGTCAACTGTAGAAAAAGGGGTGTTCCGAGATGGCTCGGACCCCTGGTATCATTAATAGGCTGTATATATATATATATATAATAGAATACAATATAGGGGGCTTCACGTTTAAGAAGAGTTGTATTTGTTGGGTTCTCCTCCGAGCGCATCTGTGAACTGCAGCCTGTCGATAAATTGTAATGCAATACGAACATAGATGTCGGCCAGGAGAAAAATAGACAATGTTAACCATCTCATCACAGTCCAAGTATTTATATCCAAAACATCTATCTTTTTTTTCATTACAGAAGAAGGCTTTTTGTATGAATGACAGCAAATAAATTGCATTTATACTATTCGAAGTATTGAAGTATTGAAAAAGAAAACTTGTTTGTGAAAGATTGTGTGGAAGTGTAAAGAGTTGAAAAGTTATAACTGGTATTCGAATCGAAAGTATCATTGAAAGCAGGTAATTCATGTAAAATCCTCCGAAGAGTTTTGAACACTCCAAGAATAGTTAATTCCATTATTTTCATATACTGGTATTACTAGCAATACGTTCTTTAATTGTAGCAAGGGAACTATTTAAAAGCATAGCGATGATTTGTAGAACACTTACTAGAAGCCGAGATGAGACGATTTTTGACGGGTTGTTTATGTAGTTTGGGTAAGAAATGCATGGTAGGGACCTTCAAATGTTGATATAATGTCATAACCAAAGATTTGGTAAAGATATGATTGCCTACTATTTGACTCTCCGTGGAGCGTACTGTATGGTATTTGATGTAGAAGAATTCATAATTTAAAAAGTTCCGTGTAGCATTTACGTCATACCTCCACCAAACACCTGTGTATGCTGTATGCGCACTAAACGCTTCCAAATACTTGGAGTTTAGTTTAAATTCTAGAAAAGGAAGCCTTACTAACCCTTTTATCAATTTCTAAATTATTTTGAAATATGATATGTGAAGATATACAATATTCATGCATTTATTGATATAAGAAGCAAGTGATTTTATTCTATTTCTCTCGTTAACATCAGTTTTACAATAGAATGAAAAAGCATTTTGTCGATGGTAGACGATATTTGGTCTTTTTTCAAAAAGTGTATAACATCTCGTTCTTGAACGATGTTAAGATCCCATGTATATAATAACATGGCCATAGGGAGTATTTCTACATTTTGATTTCGTAGTCTCATGTTGAAGGAGAATTATTTTCTACATTTACGTCTGATGTAATAGATGTATTATTAAAAATTAAACTTCCTCTGGATTTTTAATAAAAAAAAAAAATATGTTCCCCTATCCCATACTACCAAGAGGATATGCTGGTTTAGTCGCTTATTCAGCTCACAAATTTAACGGGGTCGTTCAAACTTTTGAAATGCTTAGCTCTGCGGAATCGACATAGGTGTGTTTGTGTTCAATGGTTTAAAGCAACTATATACACAGGATTTTGTTTTATTTATACACAGTTTTGATTTAGAAGAAAAACCGATATGGTTAGACAATACAAATAATAACACCATTACAAACACAATTCCATTTTAATATTCTTGTCATGGTTAGAAAATACATAAAATAACACCATTTCAAACTCAATCCCATTTTAATATTCTTGTCATGGTTAGAAAATACATACAATAACTACATTTCAAACTTAATCCCATTTTAATATTCTTGTCATGGTTAGAAAATACATGAATTAACACCATTTCAAAGTCAATCCCAATTCAAAATTCTTTTACGTGTCAATAAAACAAATCTATTTAATTTTTAGAAATTTACCTGTAATAATATAAACGTCACAAAACATACGTCACTTTTTGTGGCGTTGATCCATTCATGTTACGCGCAGTTTATACTTCGTTTGTGGTGTCCTGGTGTGCTGTCGTTATTTCATGGGCGGTGTCCGTTGTTATTCTACGGTTTACATCTTGTAATTTACTATTATATTATTTATTTATGTATTTCTCTGTGCTGAGTGTTCTTGCGTGTGTTTGTACTGTATTCTTGTCACGTAGTGTTGTCATTTTAGCGATATTTTTAACATTGCAATATAAGCGGGAGGTTTGGCTAGCCATAAAACCAGGTTCAACCCACCATTTTTTTTAAAATATCCTGTACCAAGTCAGGAATATGGCAGTTGTTATCAAATAGTCCGTTTTTATGTATGTTGGCGTTTGTTTTTGTTGCAGTTCAGTGTTTCTGTTGTTCCGTTGTTTTCCTCTTACAGTTGATGTGTTTCCCTCGGTTTTAGTTTGTAACCCTGATTTGTTTTCGCTTAATCGATTTATGACTATTGAACAGAGGTATACTACTGTTGCCTTTATTTATATGGTATCAAAGAACTTAAACTAAAGAAATAAGTTGTGAGTGAAAACAATTGAACTGTGAAATATGTGTTAAAACAACACAAGCCGACATTTAAAATGACAACTTTCACTAAAACAAAAAGCACAGTCGAAGCAAGTATTTCAATTAAATAGATTCGTAGCACAAATCTATTACCCAAGCAGATAAAAGTACGATCTTAGCCTATAATTCCAATTATGAAGTGCGATGTAATAATGCAGTCTCACTTAAACACGGTTACGGAAGATGAATGTCTACATGGGGCAAACTATCATAGATTAGTCATTCATCTTTCTATGTCAGTGCTATAGAACATGAAACATATTGAAATGGACAAGGATAAAATCTCATTACATTAGTTGGCATTGAATAAAGCGAAAAAGTAGGTGGGTCAAAAAAAGAAGAGTACTGAAAATATAAAAATAGGGAGATATGGAGTATAAGTCATGAGACAGCAACCAAACAACACATAAAACCAAAAAGACATCTAGATGTTAAAATACAATCTTTAACAATACACAGGTATCTAGGTTCAAATCGGCCGAATAAAAATTAACATACAAGAGGAATTATTAAAAGAACCATTATAAATATATTCCAGTAAAATCAAAAATACAAGAGGATTTGTTCAGGATTTCTTCTCACCCAAAGTCCTGTTAAAACCAGGTCTGACTGAATTAAAATACCATTTAACTTAGCTTATACAAGGTCAGATTCTATATACAAACGCCATCTAAAGTCAACCCAAACTATGTCAATCTTAATATAAAAGCCATCTTAACTCTGTCCAAGCCGGGTCAAACTGAACATAAAAGACATCTACATTCATTCCAAACCAGGACAGACTGAATATAGAAGCCATCTTATTTCTGTCAAAACCGGGTCAAACTAAACATAAAAGACATCGAAACTTTTCCCACACTGGAACTAGGACAGACTGAATATAAAAACCATCTTAACTCTGTCTAAGCCAGGTTAAACAGAACATAAAAAGTAAAATAATGAAAATATCGAACTTTAAGGGAAATTCAAAACGGAAAGTCCTTCATAAAATGGCAAAATCAAAAGCTCAAACAGAAACGAATGTCACATTCCTGACTTGGTACAGGCATTTTCTAATGTAGAAAAATAATATAAAAATAAGGTGATGAGGTATGATTGCCAATGAGACAACTATCCACCAAGGTTCAAATTAAGAGGATGTAAGTAATTATAGGCAACCGTACGGCCTTCAACAATGAGAAAACCCAATACCGTATAGGCGGCTATAAAAGGCCCCGACATAAAAAATATGAAACCAGTCAATTGAGAAAACTAACGGCCAAATTTATAACAAAACAATTTACGAAAAACAAATATGACAGACATGAACCAACGAAAACCACTGAACTACAGGTTCTTGACTTGGGACAGGCCCATAAAGAATGTGGCGGGGTTAAACATATTTGTGATCGCTCAACCCTCCCCTCCCCTAGCCTGGGACAGTGGTGTAACAGCACAACATCAGAACAAACTATAAAGGCTGAACTCATCAGATCGATACAAAGCAGAAAACATCAAACAAAAACACAGGCCGGACGTGGCAGGGTATATATCCATCCCTCATCCCTAACAACAAAAAGGACACTAAGTACAGATCTGAGAGTACTCGCATTTACTGACATCCAGTTCAAAGCCAATAACAAATAATAAAAAATCATGTATCTAAGACTAAATAAAGGCAACAGTAGTATACCGCTGTTCGAAACTCATCAATCGATAGAGATAAAAACAAATCCGGGTTACAAACTAAAACTGAAACGCATCAAATATAAGAGGAGAACAACGACACAACAAAAAACACAACATTAAAATGTAACACACACAGAAACGAACTATAATATAACAATGGCCATTTTCCTGACTTGGTACAGGACATTTTAAGAAAAAAATGGTGGGTTGAACCTGGTTTTGTGGCATGCCAAACCTC